ACTCTAAATAAGGTTATTTTGTAGTGGCAAATGAACATTTTCTGCCACTCTGAAGACATTTGCCACATTAAACATAAGGTGTTTTTACATGGATTTCAAAAATTTTTTTGTTTTCATAACAGAACATTTGACAAATATAATCTGCTTCCTGTAAATGTTCAGCATTAAAAATTTTCAGAAGTTCTTTGAACATCATTCTGATAAACATAAAATCACAATAATCATTCCTTCATACAACAAACATTAGATAAATTTTAACAACAAACATAACTGTCAACAATTCATTAACAGCATTACCCTTACCTGTCACCAATTATATAAAATTCAAAAGTTAATAGGTGTTTTCTAAAAAAAGATAAATAATCAACTGGGTGAGATTATTCCAATTATGTCTTGAATACAGATACAAAGATCTTGTACATCTCACACATTCTTGTCAATAGCTTTGACAAATAACACAACATCACACAAACAAAAAACACTATTGAAAGTGTCAATCCAAAAATAAACATCACTCCCTCTGCCTTTATTGTATAATAGTCATTATGTCTTAACTCCCTATGGTGCATAATTAGAATAGTCTAAAAGAAAAAGAAAATTTTACAACTTACTATTATATCCAGCCAAACGTGTTGACGCAGACGAAGCAGCTACATTTATCGCTGTTCGGTACATGATTCAAAACTAATCAAACAAACAATGTACAATTAGTATCGACCAATTTGAAGCTATCCCTTGTTCACTTTCTATTCATCAAATAACCACTACATCTATTCAGACTATTTCTTAGGCCAGCTTTCTTAAGCAGACGACACTTCAGTTGTTGATCTGTCAATTAAATAAATATAAAGTTTATATATTTTCAATATCCATCACAAAGACTTAAAATTTTCTTCATGCTTGAATCGTTTTAAATGACTGGTTTATTTCTGTAACCATTTAATGCATATGTATTAATTTTCTCGTTGATTTTAAGTTGAACTTGGTTTAAAATTAAGGCTACGTTTCCAGAAATGTTTCTCTCTGCCCATCACAAACAACCAGAAACATGTGCCATTGTACACACAAATGTGAACCAAATTTCCTGTAATTGATTTTTTTCTTCTTTTAAACAATGGCGCAAGCACAGATCATATGGTGGCAATATCTTTTCCCATTTAATTTGGTTGCTATGGAAACATTACAAATTAGAAATATTTGAAATTAAATAGCTATGGTTTCAATTTTGATCCCCACATTTTTCAAGATGTCTGAATGCTAGAAATGCCTCTTGGTGGAACATAATATTTAATACCTTTCTTCTCTTTACTCTCCTTTGTTCTAGCCAACTCTTTGGGTGGAGATAAAAATGGTATGAAGTCCAGTATAAACATTACCTGATTGAGTCATCAATCAAATGAAAAATGTTTCCTCCTTTGAAGTTGAATGATTGAATGAATAATTAAAGAAATTTAAAATGTGGATATGACTAATTTTTTTTTTTCAAAATTTGATTAAAACAATTCAAGAAAAAAAACCCACAAATTTGAAATTTTTTCTTTGTACCTTCAAATTCAATGGCCAAAGCGTATTGCAATGTGAATGAAATTCAAGGCCATTTTCATATCCATACAGAAATGTCATTTTATGGACTTTTATATGGAAACAATATATAGCCAGGAGACTCCTATTTAAAGTGACAGTCATAGCCCCAAGGCGAATTCATTTTGCATGTTCAGCTTAGTTTTTATTCCTCCCATCAAGAAAAAGTAAAATTTGGTGATTAAAGTGCCAAAAGGAATAGATTGATAAAATCAGTTATGCATCTGTAATAGTTGTTTAAATTAAAATTAAATAGTATGAAAAAAGGTTTGTGACCCCCATGGGCAAAACAATCTTTTGTTAATATAACTCCCAAGAATAACATTACTCTAGGGTATATTGATCCAATTCTTCAGCAATGAATTCAAGGACAAGGTCCAATTGATGTTTAGAGATTAAAGGACTGTAATATTTCACCTCCTTTTAATTATGGATCATTGACATCAGAGGGCCAACTGTTTTGTTGATTGAAATATTATTCAGACAAGGCCATATTGTAATCTTATTGACATGTAAAATAACAGATTAATTGAGCAATAGAGAATATAAACAGCTATATAATAACAGTAGTTGAATATATCCACATCTGACTAATACATAGGACTCCAATATTGATTTTCTACATCTCATAGACAAAGTGTCCTATATAATAAATCTCTTTCTAAAAATATCTTCATCATAATCAATTCTAACATTTTGAGACTAAAATAGCCTTATTGTCATAGCATGGTATTGTTTACATGGTTAGGAAATCAAAGTTCAAAACCAAGGCCATTTGCTAAAAAGCTCTGCATTACCAAACAAATTGTTCCAAATGACATCATTATTAGCTTACTGAAAACCAATTTAGCTTGATCTTAGTCTGATCTTACCTCAAGAAAAATTAAATTCAATCTCTGCTAAATTTAATCCTTTGTAATATCCCAAACACTTATTAGTAAATCAATCACATGTCCTGATTCCATTGAACACATGAAGAGAATGATGCTTCTTTGTCCAGCAGCCTTCAAGACATTGGCACCACGCACCGGATTCAGAGTACAGTTACTCTTTAAGAATATGGCAACTTGTTCGTGTCTGCCGATTTTTGTTCTGGCACTTCTCTAAACAACGCCTGAAAATTGCATTAACAATCTTCTAACCTAATTATTAATACATCTGCTGCTATTATTCTCATTTCCACCTGTTACATTTACCTGCATTTACAACATGGACTCCACCAATTGAGGCAACAGACCATACCATTTGAATAAAAAGGGGATTAAAGGTTAGGTTAAAGGTACAATGGACAGGAAACTGTTTATTGCATCTTTATCTCATTATTTATAGGGTTAAATGAAAGTTTTATTCAGATATTTGTTGGTCATTGCCTATTGATATTGAACTTCTTAACGTGGACAAATAAATATTTATATCGCTAGCACAGTAGGTTTTTACTAAATGTGTCTGTTAGGTTAGGAATTGTCAAGGGGGCTCACCACAGGCAATTCTCTTTCTCTGTAAAATGATAAAACTGGCCTCAGTTGTGGGTCCCCTCATTCCCCTCTCCCCATAATGAATTTCTTGAAGGAAGGAAGTGCCAAAGATCTCCTCAGGATGGGGAGAATCAAGGGTAGGTCTACTTTTACGATCCAAATACGATTAAATAACGTTCCAGTGGAGTTCCAGTAACGATAGAAGATCCAATAGCGACTTCATGTTCCTTGGTCACCACCATCACCTTCGCTATCAGATCCCCAGGAAGAGTAAAAGATCGGCTTTCTTGGAGAACGGTGACACTCTTAGTCATACACGAGTCTTGGTAAGTTAGAATCAAGTATGATGTCGTAAATTGGACGGAGAGCCACAGATATTTGTGCAGGAGTGGCGATCATAGAGATCCGGCTCACAGCGCCGTAAATCACGGCCTAGTGAATGGGGGTATTACTAAGGGGGAGTGTGAATGACTTGAAAAATTACTGTACCTACCGCTGACTTAGCCTTTCGAGTAGTTGTGCTTTAAACTTTGTTTATCTGACGAATCGACGTTTACTGACGTCAAAGCCTATGACGCATTGACATAACGTCAACGATATTCCCTGCCGCCTCTAAATAATTGACACCCTTCCGTCATTCAGAGTCAAAAGGTGGCTTACTATTTGATTTATGATGCATAATTCACGTATTAATTTCTGTGTTGGCAAAGAAAGGATCATTTCGAGATCATCGGCAATTTCATCACAACCTTGAAGGCATTTGAACCCATGGCACATAATAATATGACACTTTTTGAAATTCATCTATGAGATCACTCTTGCTTTTCTTTCATTGGAAAAATTATTTTATTATAAATAAATACTGAATTTTATTTTTTTGTCTACAATTTTATTATAATTGTTTCGCCATTTCATACAGTTAATTCATGATTATCATATTGATAGTGAAAATTGTCTTTTTGGGTCTTTTTGAATTTTGGAGATCAAACATTTTCATCTAACTTCTTTTACCATTTTCTTCTGGTTACTATGTTTATCATCAAGGAATGAACAATGAGTTTGTACAACAAAAAATTTGAATTTTCATGGACACAGTTGCAGTGATTCTAAATGTATTTCGTGACAAACAGTAACAGCTTGGCTTCCCATGATTTCAGGATGAACTGTCTTCTTTAATTGGCCGTATAATTTTGATTCACAATGCTTCATCTTGTTTGTTACCTATTGATACGATGTTGTACTGGAACTATATATGGATGATTTGAAATGACATGATACTCACATCTCGATACATATCGTATCCCTTATCTAATGATACATATCATGACCTACGTATTGTGACATGATTGACAATACCCAGCAATATGATGCATTACACAAGAGCAACAATTCCTTCACTCACTCTACAAAACAATCATAATGCAACTTAAGGTAACATAGCACCAAATGATAACTTTTTCACCATTAACTCAGTAAATGTCTTTGGATATTGTGGCTTTACTAGTCACTAAGGTAAATGTTTTCTGAACTGTATCAAATAATTCCCAATAATGTCTTTTACTACTGTCAGATTTACTGGCTGCCATTTTGACTGGAGAATCAAATCCATTTACATCAAGTTTAACATAAGATTCTAAAATATAAAATGAAATGGGATATATTACACAAAATTGACCAGATGCACCAGAATGTCACTATCTGTGGGTCCGTAAATCTATACATTGATTAAGATGTCACAAGGGCAAAAACCAACGAATTTTCATGACTAACTATGATTTTCAATAATTTTTTCCAAAATGGCTTAGATTCAAAGATAGAAAATACTTAATGAAATTATGACCTTCATCTTTAATCAGGCTCTCCATTCATCTCTCAAGGGAGATAACTCTTAACACAGACTTGATATATCAAGACCACAATATAATAATATGACAGACCTTGATATTACAACATACTTGAGTGCTGGGTGAATGTCTTACCTGATATCATTAAATTACTGGTAACTGATAACTGAGAGAAACAAACACGCCCTATCTGAGTTAACAAGGAAGTGACATCATCACATAATGGAGGAAATGATTGACACATGTCAATCAAACATGGAACTGTTAATAAATAAAATCTGATTCTTTCATCTGTATCTAGCACTAGAAAGATAATAATAAATTTTTAGGAGTTATAGTCAATATTCTCAAATCAATAGGTCAAGACCCAGAAACCTTAAGATAAAATCTAGACTTAAAGAATTGATTGGATAATAAACTGAGTTTAAAATCAATTTCAATGTCAGATCAATAGATTAATAAAACACAATAAGTCATCTTAAATTTATTTCAAGAATAAGGCCCCAGAATTGCAGCGTGCGATGAGAGAAATATTGTCAAATTGAAGAAAAATGATCAGGAATGATGGGAACAGCCAGTTTGAACAAAACTAAAGTGATCTTTGTAAGACTGTAAAACTAAAGTATACTCTTTAAACTAGCTGAAAAGCTCCAAGTGGTAATTTGCAGGTTAGATAATGATATTAATGCAAGGAAAATAAGACTATACCTGATAATAAAGAGAACATTATATTGATAGCTAATTTAGCTACACCTAATGATTTAGGTAAAGCATATTGTCTACATAACTGTGATAACAACTGGATACCAAATATCTGCAAGATGAGAATGTATTTTAGTTACATTGTAACACAATATCCACAATAGGTTATTAACCTACTTGGACTTGACTGAAAAGAGGCTCAAGGCAACATCTGTGTTGCTGAAATCTATAAGCATACCAAAACCCTGGATTTCATCTGCAGCTTAAATGAATACTGATGGTAAATCCATTTGCATCTACCAAGCCACATTGGATGACATGATATAAGTTTACAATACCTGTTTTTCTGTTTGTGGTTGAGCAAATAATTCTGGTATGAAATCAAGACAGATATGCATTGAAGGTATACCAGATACAGCTAATGGTATCAGTTCAGCTGGATATCCCTGTAAGTTGAATGAATATATTGAAAAATAAAATCAAACATTCAGATTTTGAAAAAAAGTAATAGCCGAGATGCAAAACTGGTATAAACATTGGTTTAATATATCTTAGTTTCTCAGGTTTTTCAGCATTTATGAATAAATTTTACAATTATAACATCATATGACATAACAAGATTGTTTTGTACGAAAGATTGCTAATAGATTGTCACATGACTTTACAGAGTTACAGGAGAAGGAAATGATATTACAACTTTGCTCTATACCCCCTGATTTCTGAAAAATCAAAGTATTTTACCTGAAAATGGACTAGTTTAGCTAGATTAGGATCAGCTATAAAAGCTTGATGTAGATATTGACATATCAAACACTGTATTTCTCTAACATTACTTAATTCTCCTGGTTCTTCCTATAATAAAATAATGAAAAATTATAATGAAATTCATGTACAAAATATTACTGGAACAGGTTGTGGACTATATAAGCTAGATTAAACTGGAGCTCCTGTTCTACTACCTGCATCATATCCTGATATTGAACTTTGCCAGATTATTCGTACTCATTTACAAATGAGTCAACTGAGGCCACCAGAGTATCACAAGACGACAGAGATAAGAACCCACAACCACCATTCTTTTGAATTAACCACACTGTCTAACATATAAGGCCTATTTAAGAAGCTATGTTAACCCAATGGTTCTTTCAACTTGATTTCCCTGATTACCTTTTCAAATTTGGAGGGTAAACAGCTTTCTAATAAAATCTGTAAGGCAGCACTTTCTTGAGCTTCTATCAAAGCATTTTTCAAATCTCTTCTCTCATGTTCTGATTGGCTAGCATTATCTATGACAGGATATGCCTGAATATGATTGGCTAGATAAGTTTTACAAGCATTAGAATAAGCTTCTAGAATTCTCAGAATGATTTCTAATATTGGAGGACATCTGAAAAAGAAATCCGTACTGTATAAAAATGTATAAATAGATGTACAGGATACCTTTCCTTGGGGTGAACAGTATCTATTGATATAATAGAATCAAGAAACAGACTTGTGTATGAAGTACCCTCTCCTTATATATATTTCCGAAACCTTAAAGTTTTATAATCTTGTTCTGCTGTCTCCATATTGACCTGATGAAGACGAGCAAAGTCATGTAATGTGCAACAAAAGAAATTTGGAGGTATATTTCATAAATCACTAACACAACAAGGTGCTCCAGAACTTTTGATCTGTTTTACATCCAAAGGCAACATGAAATGAATGGAGTTTTACATCCTACTTTTTTGCACAATGTGGAAAATACACCAGTGATAACCTATAGACAATAAAGTGAAAATAATTACCTAAACACTCTCTGATCACAACGTAAAACAACCAATGGATCAGTTATAACATCATGTTCTGTATAGGGAGCTGGTTTAATGGTTTGACTTGATTCTTGTAAATTATTTATTGTTGACAATCGTAAACTGGAATTTACACAAATTGATTCTTTAGAATGACAACCTAAAAATATATTGTTACTGGGAAGCCAAATGAAGCTTTGAAAACCAAATTGACTCAGTTTGATTTCATGTGTGTTGAACATAGTTGCTGGTTGTGTAATGTTGCTTATCAGTCATAATTATTTTGAAAATTCGTACTTCATTGTTTTTGCATATTGAAGGTGCTTAATAAGGTACTTGAGTTAACATGATTTGCTGTATTTGCAATCTTTTCTATACTACCTTACCTTCGAGGTGATATTTTATGTATTTTAAACCAGACTCTGTTGACTAGATCAATAATACGTCGTGGAGTAGATGGTAATAACATAATCTTTAAACTGGTAACAATAACTTCAGCAAATGGTAAAACTTGAGATGGTTCATATACTAGTAATTCTTGTAATTGTAACATTACAACACTAGGTGTTCCTGGTAACTGTTGAACAGCTGAAAAATCAAATAAATTATATACTTTTCAGAACTGTGATCTGACCAAATTTATGCAACTCATATTCTAGGTCATTAAAATATCAGGCCTATCAAATAATTGGAACACAATTTAATGAAGAATTTGATTAGATCATGGTTGGCAACTGACAAAATAAGACACTTTGTGTAATCCAGTCCAGCAAGTTTTCTAGTGTTACTCAGCTGTCATGATGGTATGAAAAACAGATAATAAATCAGGGGCAGGAAAGTATGACAATGCCACGTATTGCAAAATCGTCAGCTACAGAAGAACAAGACAACAAATTTTAACGAGACTGAATAATTGACAAACCTTGTTTAAATGTAGCAGGTGTGACTTGTTGTTTATTTATAGTATTATACATTCTAGCAATCTGATTGGTTGTTTTTAAACTGTCAGCCAGCCAATCATCAACAAGACATAAATGAGGATAATGTGTTGCTAGTAATCTGAAATTATGAAACAAATACTCGTAATTTACAGTTTTCTGCCTTCATTAATGGTTATAGCTCTGTCATTGCTCTAGGATAAAGTTAAAACTTCTTTTGATTAAGAAATATTCCTTGAATCTTACCTGATGAGTGAGGGAAAGATACCAGCACATTGTGTTTGTTTTTCTTGAGCTACTTGTACCAAGAAGTTAATAGGTATAATAGACATGATAGATTCAGAATAACTTGATAAATTACGCTGAGTCATAACTGAAAAATATATACACATAGTTAAATTAATCTATTACACAAAGTATTAATAATTTACAAAAAACTATCCACATTTAGTGAAATTCCATAGAAATTGTAGACAACCTCTTTAACATTCTACTTAACTCATAAAATTGATTCAGATTTATGTGAAAAGTTGTTTTATAAATGATAGAGAAATTGTGTGTGTTTATGCCTTTAACCTCTAAGTATTTCCATAAATATTCATTAATATGTGCCTACAACTTCTAAATATTTCCATATATATTCATTAATATGTGCCTACAATCTCTAAATATTTGTGTAAAAAGTTCTTACCTATAGATTTCATATTATTTAATAAAGTATCTTCAAACAACAACAAATAATATAAAACAAGTATTTGACAGCCGACATCTTTTTTCTCTGATAGTATAATAGTAGGAGACTGTCGTCCACTGATATCTTTTCTATTAGCAGGAGCATCAAATACTTCTAATAATTCCTTTTCGCTGATAGCTTGATTTACATTGTCTGATTTGATGCCTTTAACAATAATAGAATTCACGTAGGACTCTATTAATAGAGGTAGGAGAGGGTGTAATGGTAAACAACTACTACACATTTGTTTATAAATCCAATCCTGAAAAATAAACAAACAATCCATTTCAGAACTTAAGACTTGCTTGATAAATTTTATCATTAGATTCTAAAATCAACTCACAAAAATTATTCATTGAAAATTCTCTCAGATACAATTGGTCCATTTTTATTGAATAAATCATTCGACTGGTTCAATATACTTCAAAATACCAGAATTTGTGTTGCATAACAATTTTCAAGTCACCCACAGAAAAAAACAGGAAACAAAACATAAAGATCTACAATCTGATGAGCTAGTCAATAAATAAAAAGTTAAAATGTAGGTATGTTAAAATTCTTACCTTGATTGGAACTTTATATCTAGAAAATACACGACTTTTTAAAAGTTGGAATATAATATGTATAGGTAAATAACCAGCCATATCTCCATTTAAACTCTCAGTAACTGGTATACTTATAGCATGAGATGCTATTACCTGTAATATATAACATATAGCATTATCATTTACATACTGTTACACAAGGCCTTTAGTGAAATTTAACGCCACCTTCAAGCATTGATATCTCCAGGTTATATCTCGTAATAATCAGATGACTCTGGCAAATAAAATGTCTTCGTTAACTTATATTCAGGGAGGTTACCTAATGTACATCATACTGTTCTATCAATCTCCATAATACACCAGGGCAGATCAATTAATTCTTAACAAATACGATATTTAATATAAGAAATATTTATAAAGAAAACAACAATTTTACCTGTTCAGTAAATATTTCTTGAGTAAAAATATGGCGTATTCGAGACAAAGCATTTGCTTTTACTTGACACTAAAACATAGACATAAATAATTCATAAGTATTTAAGTTAGTAGAGAGAAAGTCCTACAAGATATGTGCTTATTTCTATGAGGTATTGCCACAGTGTAATTACTTAAATATTTTATTATTAGATGTACAACACATATTTATATTCCAGTCGAAATAAATTTTCTTAAGACCATAAGGTTTACTTACCTTCATACCCAATGTATTACAAACTAATTCACTAATAGAAGATGTCTGATTATTATGAAAATGGAGAGCTATCAAAAACAACATTTCACCAAATGATTTTCCATTTCCTGTATTTCTAAAAAGAAGCAAAATAGAAATATGGTAAGGGAATCACTTGACAATAATATCAAGGCTCATAAAACCATAAACAAATAGAACAAATAAGTTTCTTCTTTGGGTAATGCAAATTGGCATTGTCATGCAGTGTGCAATGAGAGAACAGCAATATTAGCTTCTTTCCCATATTAACGTGCATAGCCAAAACAAATGTGGTCAAGTAAGGGAAACAGGATAGACAAATCAAAGCCTAGCCACGTCTTCTCGAAACTATCTTAGCACTAGGATATCCCAGAAACAGTCTTGAAGTTAAGACCAAAGTACATCCTAGCTCTTCGAGAATATGCGGCATGGTTATTAAGTTTAGCAAGCAAGCAGTTGTTAACACAATGAGGTACGTATACACTATTGTATAATGGTGTTTTGCATCCTCTTTATAGTCTTTACCAAATAAGTTCAAGGAAAATCTCATGAAATGGTACTCACTTATCAAATATACTTTCTGCTGTCAATAGCCATGAAATCCATTCTACAACTTCATGTTCCAATTCCAATCCACTGAAAATTAACATTTATATAAAGTTATCTGAGGTTTGAGCCAGCAGACCAACATTTCTATGAACAGTAACTTTGACTTCTATTACTTATTGCATTATTCAATTGATCAATTAACATTAGCATTATATGCAGATAGCATCTAGAAATTTCTAGTTCTAGACTAAGAGCGCTGACGTTTTTGAGATAATTAGTCTAAAAAAAGTCAGTTATAATTCAACTTTGAAAAATAAATCCTCTACCATCCAAAATTTTGGTGGTAGAAATATCTGTCTGCTTTCTCAATGGTAAGGAATGGAAATTTGAAGGATTCAAGATGAATGATTATGAATGGTTAATAACTTACCCCTGTGATAATAGTAATGGTGAAGCTATTAACATACATAATGATACTGATATAAACTGAGCTCCTGAACTGGTTGGTGGTGGCCGAGATGTCATCACATCTAATAAAGCTTTAGTTTCATCATCATTAAATCTAAAAATATATGTTCAAAAATCTAATAACAGAATTTTATGTGTATAAGGGACACTGATAACATCAATTTGTCCCATTCCAATTTTCAATCAGACATGGATTTGCACCACAAAGCAAAGACATACATAAGTTTTGGAAAATCAGACCAAACACACTTAAAATACATAGATATCTCTCAACAATTCTCATTGATACTGCATAGGATTCCGAACTATCACTAACCCATGAAAAGTTAGAATATAAGAGGGTGCAGAACCTTTCAGAACACCTGATGTACTCAGAGATTGGGTTTGTAGACTTCATACCAATTAGTAAAGTGTCGAAAAAAATATACTGCTGTGTATTTTGCAATTGTTTATTTATAGAAGTTACTTACTTTAAGTTAGCCATATTTTTAAGAGCACAATAAAGCCTCAACAATGTAACAGAATATACCACATGATTACTGGACATGGGTTGTCCCATAGGTGGAGTTACTAGTCTTAGTTGATCCAACAAGTATTCACGCAGTATATGTAACATAGATTTAGCTGGATCGCCTTTCCTCTAGAATAGAAAATCGTTCAAGTAAACAGTTAACAATTGGAAATGGATGTAGTTGTCTTTACCTGCTGTTAGAGCTGAATGTCAATTAAAATCTGATATTCGGTTTTCTTAATATTCAACAAAAACCTACCATGAAATAGATTGTACTCACTTTCAGGTTTTCAAACAATTTATGGAGAGTTATTAAGATAACAAAATACTTATGTTTATTCTATAACTATATTCAAAAAAGAACCTGAAACATGTTGTTACCCAGAGTTTCAAGCTGTGCGATCATCAGACAACTGATCTCATTCAACCTGTGTCCCAACTGAAGTTTGATGAGTAGAACTTGTTTTGTGTCTTTACTTCAAGAGACATGTTCGGATCATTCTATAATCAAATCATTTTATACAAATTTACCTTTTGTCCAGCTTTAACAAACTGTGAGAGCCATGTCCTAGTGACTGCATCATCTCCAAGTAACAGAGAACTAACAAAAAAGACAGCATCATCTTTAGCTGGAGCATTAACAGCTAGTGGGGCAGACATCTGTAGAGACAGGGCTATAGCTAAACCAGGCATTGTACAATTCTCTACCTATAATACAGGAAAAAATAAATTAGTTAGTACAGTATTAACACAGCTTAAATGGCAAGTAGAAACAATCTCGGTTCCTGAAGATATCCATTTTCACAATGTCAAGCTATTACAATCATCTAATACCTTGATTTCATTAAGCACTTTTCTTGTATCACAGAAGTTTGTAAATGCAGCAATTTGATTTGATTGGATTTGGAAGTGCATACAGCCGATTAGAGCTCTTGACAGATAAATGAAAACAAGGGAACCCATCTTTAATTAGCCAAAAATTATATTTAAATAGCATCATTACTTTTCATAACTATTTTGTTAATGAAATGAGAAAACTTACACATAATGTTCTAATATTGAGTGTTTCCTGTGGATTCATGGCACATAACATTTGTAACATTTCTAATCTCCTTATACCTCCAATACTTTCTTCGTCTTGTCTTTCCCCATGACTTATCAAACTATAACATACTGAAAACAACATGTTTCTCATTTAATTGTTACATAATACAGTTTCAATTTGTAAAAGCCTAAACCTTAAAGTTGTTAATGAAGTTTTCTCTCTTGTTTCTCCAAATATTTTATGATTGTACTTTTTATAGGTGTAATTCTAATAGTAAATTCCATATTGGTACTTGTAATCAATGAGATATTCTGATGCTTTTATATCAGGCATTTTTTTCTCTTAAATTCTATTTCCTGTAGGCTACTTTAAGGTAAGAAATATAGGATTAGAGTTTACATGTTATAACCTAGCCCAACAAATCTGGCCCTACTGACTCCTCTGACCATCAGTCCATCAAGATATAACAGGATCAGTGGTTTCCTAACATCTTTTCTTTTCTCACAACTACTGACATCTTCTTGCTTAAGAAATTGAAATATATCCAATACAAACCTGATTTGAAAGCTTCTGGTGAATTGGCCAATAGCTGACATAACAACCAGGAACCATTCTTTAGACACAATAAAGCTTCTGCTATATCAGGTAATGGAAGTAAGTTAGGTAATTCTGAAATAGGGAAAGATACTTTTTTTTAGTGTAGGCTCTAGTGAGCAAGTGAGAGTTTCATGTAAGTCCCCTCAACATTAGAAAACTTAAAGACGGAGCACAAAAAAAATTGATGCTTGAATACAATAGAACTGATGACCTAGTATTTCTGAATAGGTATCTTGGACTTTCTAAAACACAACAAGTGTTTTGTAGAAAAATTTGGAAAATATCACTTCAGACAAATTTGGAAAAGAGTTAGTCATATTAGAGCTTCACATTAGTGAAAAGTCTGCATGACAAAATGTAAAGCCCAAAAATTAACAAGGAGTGTCTTACAAACCTGCTTGTGCTATTGACAATATATCTGATACTTCTTCTAGATAAACTTCACTTTCAAATAACTCACACGTTTTTTCATAATTAGGATTTTTCTGATCTTTAATCTGAAAAAAAATCAGGACTAAATAAAGCATAAATTAGCACTGGGGTTGACAATGTTCTTTTCAATTTCTGACTATCCTTACTCCGAGTCTTCCTGTAAAAGATCAGACAATGAAAAAGGAAGGTAAAAATTACAGCATATCAGTTTCATGAGGATGCTCTCTGAGCTCAAATGTTTTATTACCTCTGACATGACAAATAATAATTCACTTAATAAAAGTCGAATTCGTCTTGCAGGATCACTTCTCTCAAATTCTAAAACTAGACCATGTTGTAAATTTGATATCAGAACACTGTCAGTAATACTACTTCCAATTTTAGATCTGAAATAGAAAAGATACAATAAAATTTCAAAGGTTATCATTGTTACCAATCAAATCTCTCTGTGATATTAAATCTTAACCTATTCTCCCTTAAAAGAAGGAAACAAAGATGACTTAGTCACCATCATCAGACTGTCACATTTAAAGAGGACGAGTTTCTATTCATAAGTCACCAAAGCATAATAGTTCTTTACATAAAGCAAGTGCTCCAGGTTGAACTGTATACAAGTTTAGTCTTGTCTTTCTGAACGAAAAGTCTGATGGTGAAGTATTGCACACGCTTCACAGACATGAGAAAAATTAAATTCAAGCTATGACAATAAAACTGTAGTTGTACGTTGAAATGACACTAACCGTAATTGTTGTTCCTTTTTAACATCTTGTTCCAAAGCATGAAAGTCTATTGAGAGTAATGTGACAATATTGTTAACAATTTCTAAACCAGATAATATTTTTGAAATCTCTTTCCTATCTTGAGTCCATTCATCTCCCATATCTAATGGAGCACATAATGCCATCCGAACCAAACTTGGCAAAACTGGTCGCAAGTCTGATTCACTGCAAGAGCTCAGTTCTCGTATGTCAACATTTTGCATGGACCTGAAAACTTTGCTTTGCACTGGTTCTCTCCTTTTAAACATTTTTTAATTATCAGCTAGCAACTGTACAGAAGATTATAGGCCAATATGTATCCATAAGTTTTCATCTTATATTTTTCGGAAATAAAAGTAAGGTTTTCTTTCCATTGGGCCTTCTTTGAGTGTAAAGCTTTGACAGAGATTTATTGTGATAGAATGGCTCCAAAATGCTTAAATGAACTGGTGGCTTCAGTTGAAATCGATTTGGTTAAGTTTATAACTGAAGATGAAAACTTTTATAGTATGGAACACTAAATAACTAAAGAATTATTTTTTCCACCGCGATTAATCGGCTTTATTTGACTTTATTATTGAAGAGTCTTCCTGTCTTTTTACTGCCGACAAATAAATCGTATGATAACTCCGACAAATCATCTTTCGGGTTTCGTTTTGCTGTTCGGGTCTTAGCCAGTTTAATATAGAAATCTATTTACAGCTATCAAAAGCACTGGACAAAATTAAAATGCGATATCTCCTACAATTTAACAAAAACAGCATCGTCTAAGCATAAAAATAATTCTTAAATTCTCAATGTTGCCGAGCATTTGGAAAAGATCAAGGCTACCGAGACCAAAGACTTCCTGGGGTTAGCGAGGGTTTTGCCATTCTTTATTTCACAGACCCCGTATGTACCAGTGTTTGACTTAGCAGAATTGGTAGGGAAAAACATAACCAGGGGCTTAGAGGGCCCAAAAAAGTAACACCCTTCTCGTTAGTGGATGCTGATTGTATGAAAAACTTGGTTATGTTTTAAAAATTTTTTTTAATAAAACAGTTTTTTTCACAAAATGTTTTGTTCTTCCTTCAGTATCCAGACAGATGGATAAAAATACATAGAGAAATGTTTTTGTGTTTTTTCTTTCAAACTTTGATAGCTTCACACACTAAGACATCAGGTGGCAGTATGTGGATTTAAAAGTATTTTTATTAACACAATGATGTTCCTGTAGCATCACTAATCTATTTTGATTTAAATTTTCATTCCATGATCTTTTGTCGTTTTGCTGGTAGTTCACAGGGCTGGTCATCCTGTGAATCATCATCTACAATATCACGAATACCTCCAACCTGAAAAAATACAAAAGATATTTAAAAGGAACAGATTCGCTATCTGTTTTATAAATCGAATTGTACCTTAGTCTCAAAAATGTGAAGTTAAGTTCATCAGTTAAAGTTTACCCAGCTGAGCCAGCTCACAGTCATTATTGAGCCTTCAAATCCAAATGTGTCAAAAATTATCTGCGTTTGAAAATTAGATGACGAGCTGTCTTTTTTTGAGACCCTGCTAAATATATAGAAGGTACATAAAGAGAAATAGACAGCTCGTTATCAGCTTTCAACCACTACTAACAGCTATGGTGGACATACAGACATCAGGCTATGGGTTCCTACACTATATACATCCATGCAGGCATATAGCAAATATACAGGATGTAAGTAACTTACTGTGATTTGAAATGGGACATCTTGTTCTCTTTTACTAGGTGATTTATATAATAGAGCATGACGTGTATTTCCAACCCAATGTAATATAACTCTAATAGTACTAGCATGTCCCCAACTTTCACCCAATGCTGGTACAAGATGAGACAGACTAGATGTTCCTAAACCACCCTTAATTTTAGTTGTCATCTGGTTGGTTAAAACTACCTAAAATCATAAAAAAAGAAAGATACACTCATGCTTGTGCTAATCTCTAGACAATAAATAGTACTTTTAATGGTTAGATTGATTAATGCTTTCAGACAAGTACCCAACAAGCTTCTCATGGTCCACATTAGCCTACTCTTTTCCGATTTCCAACTGTCAAGGGATCTTTAATGTACAATTCCCCTTTAAGATGTTCATTTAGTACTTACCGCTAATTGATGCTGTGTAGCCAATTTGATAAAATTCTGAGCCATTGATGTTAATAATCTGGTTCTCAATGATAAATCATCAAAATCATGTCGAAAATGGAAGGCAATACTGTCTAAAACTATTAGTTTTACCTAAGAAAAAAGACAACACAATCTAAAATTAGGCTGATGACATGTTTCACAAATACAGACATGATGCAGTGTCATTTCATTAAACAATTTCACTTACATGAATTTTTACATACGATTTTTTCGCCATCAGATTTCACCATTTGACAGGTGTACTATTTTTGTCAAGGGATTTTCACATGCACAGCCTATATATAGGCCCTATAGCAAATGGCGCTTCAGTTTGTTAATGATTAAAGTTTTTGCAATAATCAATTCTCATTTACCTTTGGATGCTCTTTCAGAAAATTTGGTAGAAGATGCATATTTGCCAATAATTCAACGTAGTCATGACAACGAAAATAATGTATACCACATAATATATTTTCTAATGTAAAATCTTTTAATTCTTCAACATCTTCACCTTTGAAAATAAACAGAAATACAAAGAAATTATTTTCAAAAATATTTATATTCTAGAGGGATATGGACCGAATTATTTCTTTACTTTTTATACTACAGAATTGTGCAAAATCAGATGTTACAACTTTAGAATAATGAATTGCATGTACTCATGAAAAGTCATATCTAGACTAAACTCTATGTGATTTTGAAGGAAGGAATTTTAAATAATTATGTTACCTGGTGTTTCTGCCATCATAACTTGACAGTGTTCTATGGTAGCTTTAGTAATATCAACTAGTCTTTCTACAATAAAACTACCTTCTGTATCAATATAAACAGCTTCACCCTCCACTCCACCTAAACATTCTGGTAAACCAACATCAACACAAAGCTGCATACTGAAAATAACAACAGCAAACTATGAAGTGACACTTAAAATCACAGCCAAGTAAGCTGCATACTTAGAACATATTATTATCAAATTAGCAAATTTACAATATTAATAGCAAAATAGCTGCATTTTAAATATCACAATAGTAAATTATACTATATGCTTGAAGTTATAACAGTTGTTTACTGCTTACTTAATCTGCAAAATGAGAAAAAATAATATTATGTAACAACTTGTGACATAAGGTTCCTGAGAAACCCACTGAAAATGGATATCAAAATTTATTGTTTTGCCAACTCACCACATCTGTGTTTTACCAATTCCAGGAGCACCACAAAATTCTGTCATTTTACCCAGTGGTATACCACCCCCTATCATTGTATCAATTTGTTGAGAGAATGTGATGATAGAGGGCTGACTCTGTTCTTGATGTAATATCTGTAGAGCTGATACTGATTTGGGTAGTGTTATTTTACGACTTGTATTGGTGGATTCACCATTCTCCTTGTTAAAGACAGTTTTAATAACTTCTAAAGATTCTTGTAATGACAAACCACTTTCTATAAGGAAAAGTGCCTCCAACAATTAGTTACATGAAAAACAATTAACAGTGCAGACTTTCTTCAAAAAAGCAAAAGCTGTTCCATTATCATTGCTAAAGTAAGGTCAACAAAACGTAAGAGAACAACAAAAAAAGATGGATGGATAGCAAAAATTTTGCAAAAAAATAATGTAGGTATCATTTTTTACTGGTATAAGTTAAGTAGGTTGGTGCAGATGGCACTAATTTCAGCTTCAGTTGCATCTTAGTCCTATTAGGTACCAATAATGGCCTACCTTTACTTAGCTCTGAAGGTTTAATTTGATGGATATCTTCAACAGTTAGAAAACCACTTTGACATAATTTAGTTTTTAAGGATTGTGCTATGGGAAACCTTGCTATATCTCTCTGCATTCTTCATGTGAAACTTTCTGTGATTTTAATCGTCAAGAAATACATTAGATATGTGTAGCCTACAATTACAAATATACGCCTACATGATTTAAGTTATACAGTAGGGTGTTTATCCTATCCTATGATAAAATGAAAATATGACTCAAATTCTCAAATGCAGATCTTGAACTGAAGCCTAATTCACTTTCAAGTTTTTGGTGTAGACATTGTTTATGGACATTCTAAGATAATTGCAGAAAAAGTAATGACTCAGTAAGGTAATTAATTCGAGCTTAAAAAGGAATGTGCATTATACATGCCTGCGCGCTGTTATCGCAATTATACGGTAGTGCTCAGTTATATTATTTCTCTGTGTTAGGCCAAAAATAGGTAAATGTGGCCTTTGCCGCCAGACAACGCCCGAAAATAAGAATCATAATATTTTTCTCTACTTTACAACGATAAAACCTAACAGTGTAGGAATATTCTTAAAGTTTCAAGTAACGAAGCGATGTCAAAATTGAATTATCACCTTCCTTCCCGCCGCGATATTTTGCTAAACCGAAAGTAAAGTAAATACACAAGTACACAAAACACGGTGACGTCAGAAAATTATGTGCACAAGCACTTGCCAATGTTATGGCTTGAGAAACAAAACTTCATGAAATGGATCTTCCATCAGAGAAGGATATAGCTTCTTTGAAGCAGTTTTTAGATAAATTTTGTGAAGAAATTAATGATTTTCCTAAAGAAGACGACAATTTACCTTTTAGAATATTTTCTTACTTTATGAGAGTGGAAGATATTGAAGGGGAATGTCTCGGATGGGCCCAGCAATATCTCCTTTCAAAGTGAGTAGGTTTTATTGTATAATCAATGACAGTAGTATAGTAGGCCTATTATTACTATAGTACAATACTCTGCATACATATATCTATGACAAATGCAATTAAATGAAACTTATGATATGGCTAATGCTAGTGGGTCTGATATCCATCTAAGTAAACTAAGAGCTAAATTATTAAGTTTGAGCCAAAACATGATACTAATAAATGGCCCATTGTCTATCTTATTGTAAATAGAATAGACCTATTATATTATGCAGGTAGTGTAAAATAGGAATCACAGTGCCTATGATTCTAGCAAGGAATATGCTTGTGTCCTTGAAAATGAATCTGTGACAGCTTATTTGCTATCAATTTGCAAAATAGATTTGAAGAGTCCTAACCTAAATGCAAGAGACAGGCTACAAGTGCTCCTGATAAAAGTTCCTTTTTTTAATTCTTTAGAATCAACATAGGCCTGTATATTAACTTTGTCCCAATGACATTGTGAAAGTAAAGTTATGACTATGAAATACTTCTGTTCGGCTTCATTTTAGATGTATTGTAGTCCCTAGTTAAAATTTAATATCAAATAAATTATCTTGGAAAGTTGTTTGTATGTCTTTCAAGCATTTAAAATTATGTTAGTGAACATATTATTATGAAATTGCATTACATCTCTAGCAGAATTGAAAGATTTGTTAACTTATTGTTTCATGACATTTATTATGTTATACAATAGCACAAGACCTGCCTTACTAGATTAAGAAAGAATGTGTATGTAATGAATACATCATGTTTACTCTAATGATAACCTTACAGACTATACATATATACATGCATAATATTGAATTTTCATTGTATATATTATGCACTCTCTACTGTTCTGTTAACAATGAGTTGATGATAACATCTGTTTTATTAACTTAATAATAGAACCTTATATTTACTAACAAAACATTGTGCATTTATTACACAATAATATCATCATTATACATGGGGCTAAATAATTTTTCTTATTTAAGTAATAAATAATGTCTAATCCACAAATTTGCTTCCCAATGAATATACATCTATATATCCATATGATATTTATATTCAACTTCTATAATAGAAAAAGGAACTGTTTTCAACGTTTTTAGTTATAATTTATTTTTTAGGTTAATTTAGGTTTTACTAGGTGACTATATTCCTTTCAAATTCAACTACTGCACATGATAAAATTAAAGTACATTGTAAATAGGCCAATTATATATAATATCAATGTGCTATTTATGAAATAAGCTATTATGTTGGTGTCTATTGATAAAGTGTCTCTATTTGTCTTTTGATTCATCTTACTTGCAAGTCGTTAAGGGCTGTATTTGAACAACCCTGATGTGATTGGACTCTTTACTGATGTAATGAATTCAGCCAGCTTTCTCAGATTTTTCACATGGTGCAATCTTTTTATTTGATGTGTAAAAGTACATGGCTGGGCACAGTTTTATTTAAAGGGACAGAGCCTTTTTTATTCAGGATTTCATCAAAAGTTCATTTTGCAAGATCATCAACAACCAATGCCATTATATTGAGATTTTATTGCATTTCTAAATGATTGATAAAGACCTAAAACTTAATACAGGCACAGAAGTTTTCTAGTTAAAATGTGACAACACTATTGTTAGTCAAACAAAAAAAAAAACTGTGAAAAAATATTGAAAGAATGTTTGTAATGAAATGATCAAACATTAATGTTTACCTAACAAGTTAAATTAGGTTACATTAAGTTGAAAATAACTTCTGGTCTCTTATCAGATATGATAAAATAGGGTGTAGTGAAAAACAGGCTGACCCTTTGATCTTGCATGTTTTTAAATCATTGAAAATGTTGATATATCATTTAAAAGATTAAAAGTCAAAAGTGGGCTTCTTATTTCTTAAATACTTGAACAAATATGTTTATATAGCACGTATACACCTAGGTATATTTCCTCCTTTCAGTCCTACTTGGTAAACAAAGTTTGTTATGAAATTCCTTGTGATATGCATTCTGGAATAAGTACATGTTTTTAGGGCTACTTTTGGGTCCAATGTTTGAACTTTTTGGGCTAATGAAGTTTGTTTTGAAATTCCTTATGATATGCATTCCCTAGTAAGTACATGTATCTCCTTAACTGACATATCTAGGTAAAGTATTATAAGAGGAAGTGTGTTTAGTAAAGAAAAGAGGTTAAGAGAGATATATAATTAGTCCTAATGTGATGATACAGAATGATAAGATCAGAACATCCTCTCTAATGGTTTAGTCTGAACACCTGTTCTAAATCTTTATCAATTTACATCTCTCATTAGATTCTCACGGTAAATAGGATGGTAGCATTTTAACAGCTGATTTCAATTCATGCCCCTTTATAACAGGGCTGAGATTTGCATTGAGTCATCCAGTAGAGTATTTAGAGGGGGCATGGTGCCACCAGAGAAAATGACAAATTTACTTTCATTGCCAAAATCACGCCAGGTGTATGCCCGGGTCAGAGTGAAATCAGGTGTAGTGGAATTGTAAGCATGACCTGTTTTTTTTGGCACACATTGATTTAAAATGAAAGAAAAGCCTTAATGAGGAAGTTATCTGACTTTGTGTTAGTTGTATATATATATTATATTTTATTTATTATTTATACACTATAATGTCAATATTCGTTGTCTTTTTTTCATTTCCTGTTTCATTCATGTGTTAAACTACTAAATTTTACTATAGGGAAAGACATTTATTACATATCATGCTACAAGTAAACATAGGAAATTATTCATCAATTGAATTGAATTGCATAGTATAATTTTTTAATTTGATTTCATGTGGATTTGAAGCACATCTTTAACTTTTTTCATTGAAGATGTAAAAGAAGTGTCTTTCAGGATAAAAAGTTATATGAATAGCTACTTAACAGCTAGTTTTCAGAAAACTTTAGACATTACATTATATGCCTCACTAATTCAACTAATTGAATCCTAAATATGCAATATTGCATAGCCTTGAGCAATGAGGTAAATTAATTAATTTTCGATTAATTAATCATCTAATTAACTGTATTTCAGTGAATGTCCAGCAACCTTTTTACCTCACCTTGCCCGAACAGTTTATACTGAAATATTCAAATATGATGTCACTGAATTCTATGCTGATGATGATGATACTGAGAATCAGGAAGAGAAAGATGATGATGATGATGATAATGATGAAAACATGAAAAAGAAAGTTGATAATGATAATGATGATAAAGATTATGATGATGATGATGATGATGAAGAAAATGAAGATGAGTCTACGAAGACTCTAAAAGATGTCACATGTATGTTTACTTTAAAGGATTTTTTATACGTCTGCATCTCTGTATGTGGACGTATTTTGTTGCACCAATGTCTGTATCAATTCATCAGACTGCTTTTGATGAATTTAGTTAACATACCATAGATGATTAGACCAGAGATATTAGCCTTCCTGCCGATCATTTTTGTATCGATTAATAATTCAAATGTTTCATAAAGTTGAAACAAGCAGGCACATACATTTCTTTAGTTTAATGTTGCCCTGAACCAACCTTTTCTTTGCCATATTTTCTGAAGATTTAAGTTCAAGAATTAACTTGTGTATATCAGGCTCTTTATCCATTTATTGTCTGAGGCTGAGAATTGCCATCTTCAAATTTACATATCATGTTTTCCAATGACAACATCTTTATCCACTGGAATGATGCTCTGCTGTATTGGTTCAAGATATTGATTATTACATTAATTTTCCAGTTTTAGACGCAAGAAAATTTATAAAAGAAGTTCTAAATACAGTCCATAAAGTCTGTCGAGACTGGAAAACCAAGTTACCTCCCCTTCATATTAATTCCAAACCTCTAGAAGTCTGTGTTCATTCTGTTAAAAATACTCGACGGAAAATGGAAGATGTTCATGTTATTTGTTCTGATCTCAATACTCTATTTAATCTCAAGGTATGGTTCAACTTGTTTTCTAGTTTCAATTTATCAGCTTGATTAAATTAATCATTTATAAAATTGGGTGCTCTGAAATGAAATGGAGATTTTTGTATGACCTTTCTGCACCTGTTGGGGCCAAACAATGAGGACAAAAATAGTTATGCAGTAAGCCATGAGGGAAAATGCAAAAATAGTTATGCAGTAAGCCATGAGGGAAAATTTGCCAGAACAGTAGAATTGGCCATTCAATTTCCACCAGTCAAGGGATCGAAGGGGTCAAGGGATCTGTCCTAACAGCATTTTATCCAAAGATATTAACTCTGTCAGGATCCAACTCCTGACATCCAGGTTTATGAGCAACTGAGTGAGAAAATATTGTCCTTGAAACATCTCAAGATGTTTTTTAATATTTTAATTTCTGTTTAAATAAGCAAGGTTGATTGATGAAGATATATCATGTAAAGTGATCAAAACTCTTAAATTTTACAGGACTGTGCTAGTCATTCCTATTACTCTGTCTTTGATGGACATGGTGGTCTAGATGCAGCTATTTATGCAGGAAATCATTTACATACCAATTTAGTTCATAATTCATCCTTTTTAACTGATCCATGTACAGCTCTAAAACAGGCATATAAACAGACAGATGAGGGTTTTCTTCTGAAAGCAAAGAAAGAGGTGAGATAAACGTTCTTACAATTTGTCCAGTACTAGTTTGAGATTCGAGAATATAGAGTTCATTCATGCTTAGGCATTGGCATCAGAATTTTTCTTACTTTACACCTAAACGCCTAGCAGATGAAAATCCAACTTACTACTGACTGAGCTATTCCACATGAAAGTTTGAGTCAGTTTACCGTTAGTTCAGTCTCCCCTTAATTTATATTTTGTGAATTCAATTATGATACTTGTTGCAGAATTTAAAAAGTGGTACAACTGGAGTGACAGTATTAAAATTAGAGAAGAAGCTATATATAGCATGGTTGGGTGATTCACAAGCTGTTGTAGTAAAAAATGGTGAAACTGTCACTAAAACAGAACCACATAAACCAGAAAAACCTGTGAGTTAGAGTATATTAAAATATCTATTATTTCTTTACATATCTGCATTAACAGTGCCATTAACATATTCTTTGTGCTATTGGGTGGTTCTCAAAGTCTGTATCAAACTCTGTGACCTAGTGCTTCAACTAATGGTGCGTTAAGACAACAAAAGTTAAGACAGCTAACTATCAACTGTTCTTCAAGCCAGGTTTTCTGAACGCGACCAGTCAAACTTAAGCTGCCTTAACTTGCAGGTGGCTTCAAACCTGACTTGGAAAGTTAAGCCAGCTTAGTTTTGCCATCTGAACGCTACTGGCTAACATTCAGCCAGATATGTCATGTCTGGGTGTGCTTAATGGTATGGTAAATGGCGAATGCGCACCAAACAACAGTAAACCAGGCTCGAAGAACTGTTGATAGTTAAGCTGCCTTAACTTTAGTCGCCTGAACACACTATTAGTATTAGCACCTATTTGGTAAGATCAGATTAAATTGAAGTACTAATGTAAAGCTGCCTAATTACATTACATGCCCATTAATAATAACTGCCAGCTCTGTGTCTTTGAAGTGGTTTGAAGCCACTAAAGACTGGATTACTTCCCTTACCATATATTATGATACTCTTAACTTGTAGGATGAGAAAGAAAGAATAGAAAAGCTTGGTGGTATTGTGGTATGGTTTGGTACATGGAGGGTTAATGGAGCTATAGCAGTGGCCAGAGCAATAGGTACAAATTTTTTTACATGGGATCATAACTGAAATGATTTACAAGTGGTTCATACTATTGATCATATTTTTTGCACTCAGATCATGAGTTTTGTGTGAAGGTTGAGGACTTTTTTTTTACAGGCTTTAAACATTTCACTGGAAAAAGTTGATGTGTAGTCAACACTACTCAGCCAGACAAAATATCAATATGCAGATGATGATATTCCAAAGTTCGACATCCCATTAAGAGAACTATTGCTGATGGACTTTTTTCTTTTCTTCTGTTCAATTTTCCACCAATTTTCAAGCATTAATATGGAATGGATGGCTGCTTGATGGTAATTAGCTCAACTTGATTGTCTTTTTCTTCATACTGTTAATACCATTCAAACTTAATTATAGGTGACAGAGCTCATAAACCCTTTATCTGTAGTGATGCTGATGTTTGTAGTATAGATCTCGATGGTACTGAAGATTATATAGTGCTAGCTTGTGATGGTGTTTGGGATGTGGTGGAACCAAATGATGTACCAGAACTGGTTTACAATCATATCCAACAAACTAAAGGTGACAGAACACGAACAGCTCATCGTATTGTGGAGGTTGCTAAGGAAAGTGGTTCTAATGACAATATATCTGTTATTGTGGTTTTCTTACGCGATGACATATCACCGCCTCAGGGAAAAATGAGTATCCAGTTTCCTACCTTTGCAGCTAAAAACCCTGACAAGGGAGATGACTCTAATGATAAGACTACAAATAATAAATCTGGTGGAAAACAATGTGAAAAGACATGATCTTGCTTAATATTACAGTAGTTTTAGAATGATATAACAGAAGCAAGCATTTAAAAGGAAGGCATTGTGCTAAAAAGTGTGTAGAACATCTTTACCCAATTGAAGTGTGGTCTTCTTCAAACTTCTGGCCTGTGTTATTAGTTATAACAAATATACCAGGGTAATCCATAGCCTATTGTCAGGTGACAGGGATATAATGAAGCCTGTCATAAAAACTGTAGCTTTGACACTTTTTAATGAGGCCCAGTAGCTTTATTATTACAAACTTATGTCTTAATTTAGCCTTTGCCCACTTGATGTAACTTTGTTAAGGCTGATCTTAACAAAGGCTGCTCTACATGTCTAAGCAGCTTTCTAGCAACAAATCCTTGTGCAAAGGATTGTAATACAGATAATGAAAATAATTTCCCTCCAAATAAAACCATTTGTACCTCTTTCTTTGAAAACTTTCATCAGTTGAAAAACCAACTAAGAGAGCATTTGATTGGTGAGTTCTGCATTATTGAGATTCATGGAATCAACAAGAAGTTCAATAAAACAATTTCAAACAGAGAGCGTTCCACGTACCGAAATTAGTAGGTGTAGACTGAATTCAATATCACAGAGAATGGAATAGAAGGTGGAATTTTGAATGTTGACATATCCATTTTTGCATCGTTGGATTGAAGCCAGAATTGGTACAGACAGAATCTGTTTGGAACTAACCAATCAAGCACACCCATGAAAAATAGAATTATATCTGCAAAACAAGTGTGTACCTTATTTTATTAAGGATAAAGTTAAGTTATTATGTACATGTTTCTGAAACCTGGATGCGTTCTCAATGTAGTGTCTTTAATTTGTGCTGTAAATGTTAGAAAAATGCTAGCCATATTTATTAAGTGCCTAAATCATTTATCCTTTAGTCTTGTTCTTACACCAATCGAGCACAGAAAATATTCTCATTTTTTATAAGGAGTGGTTAATATACAAATCTTGATATAAAAACCCCAAAAATAAGAGGCATAGCAGCTGAAAATGTCAAAAATGCTTCATTGGGTCAATCATAATTGTTGATTTAATTGTTATTTTTTGTTAGTCATGGTTGAATTTGAATGTTCATAATTTTTTTTGTGAAAACCACATATGGTTCTTTGTATTTACAAATTGCTGTGTATTTACTTGGCAGTATATTTGTACAATTGAAATTATAATGAAATGTAACTGAATTTTCATATAGGTATTAATTGTATCTACAAATATTATATACAAAGATATTTAAGGATACTTAAAAGAATACTACTTCTTAGATTGGACATAAAATTTAAAATCTCAAACTAAAAGTTAACAAAGCTTTTATCAGTTGAACTTACCAGGCGCCATGACTAAAGAATAAAATCTCTATGTAAGACAATATATCCATTAAACTAAATAATTATTTAAACACGCTTCTAAGCATATTTCAAAATCACTAAGTTTAATGAATTATTACTTAGTTTTATGGATTTATTAGATTATAGAGGGGTTCTTTTGTATAGTTATGGCACCAGGTAAGTCAGCTAATGAACAAACACTCATTTTTACCGAGTTAAATTTTTTCAAATTTTGGTCATTCTAAGAGGTAGTCTACCTTTAAGTGTTAGTAGTTTAAATAGTAATAAACACACAACACACAGAAATGAAAAGGACTGTTTTTGTTTATGTTGGATGTTTACCCAGATGTAAACAAGTTCTTTTCTGACTCTAATGAAATTGTCAGATAAAAGAAATGCAAAATTTAAGATTTCCTCTTTAAAAATTAAAAACAAGGCCATCAAGTTGTTAAAATATATCGGTTAACTTCAAATTGTTAAAGAAAATAGTAGATTTTTGTTGAATATGCCTTAACATTATATAGAATTACCTGTATTTATCTCGTGTATGATTTGTTAGACTATTGTTAAAGATATTTAATTTATATACTCAGGAGAATGTTAGCATTTATTAGTCTTGTGATACCTAGTGTAGTCTCATAATATACTCCTCTTGTTCAACTCAAAATGATTGCTTTGTCGATAAGGATTACGTGACATTGATGTTACTGTACAGTAATGTAATGTCCTTCTGTAAAAGTATGTTTAATTCAGTGGAGTTTCTAGGATATATTAGGTGAAGGGCCATACAATTCTTTTGCTATGTAAAAGGAAATCAAAATTTGAAAGTGGGATGGCCAAAGCTGGGTCAGCCTTTTTTTTCTCCGTAGAAACAAAACAAATTTTGTGAATTTCATCTCAGTAACATATATGGGTGTAAATTTATGCATTTTCGAGTAAGTTTCAATGTTCATCAAAATTTATCCTAATTTGTACTACCAGTAATTACTTTTGTGCCCATTTAATAATAGTCATTCAAAGTTTAAAAAATGTGAAGGTTTGAGAAATGGGGAAGTAAATTCATGGATTATAATGAAAAATAATGATTATGCTGTGTTATTTATAGACTTACCTGGGTATCACAAGTTGGTATTTATCATACATGTATTTTTAGTTATCAAAATTTGTTTTAAGTATTATACTATCAAGGGCTAAATTGTAAAGTAGATAAATGGCACAGTATTTTTTTTTCTTATCAACTTAAAGGCTTGTTAGACAGTAGATATTAGCAATATTTTATGTAAGCAGCAGCTATTATTATATTTAATTCAATTTCACCTTAAATTCTACAGTTAGTTACAATAGGTACCCTGTTGATTCACAATTTTTCGACTAATCCTGATACTTGAAAAGTTTTATGTTATTGTCAGTATGTCACTCGATGTAGGTAGTGTTTATTATTTGATAAAAATATTATTATTAGATTACATACTTTATCTTCAAGTAAAAATTATGTGGTAGCATGTATCTCATTGCATATATTAATGAATCTAATTGGTAGCTAAGTTTAAAAAATCAAAATAATGATGGCTGGAATATCGGTCAGTAATCTGAAGGACTAGATGATCAAAATGTTTTAAGGGCCCTTAAAGGAACAGGTCAGCTATTTTGGGGGGTTGATTTGAGTCTTGAATATATGTAAATAGTCTTCAGAAGTGCTAGAGATGTACGAAAATCACATAATTCCTTCAAAAATTCAGCAAATTTGTTTTCTTATTATTTTAGCTAGTAGTGTCTTTTGAACTTTCAAAGGCAGATAATTCTGAACACATGGAATTGAAGGCTCAAATTTTGATGGTGAGCTGTGAACACTATCACTGAATTCCCATTCTGAGACTTACATACCATTGGTCAAAAAACTGGTGTATCTGTCCCTTTAAGAACTTTAAATGAAATACCTGTATTATGTAAGAAATATATTTTACATTATAAATATCCCATATATGATCACATCTATACTATTATTGTAACCTTATTACCTTTTCTCACTTGACATTCAAGTAATTCCTTTGTTTGAAGTATTTGTTATAGTTAATTTAACCAAATTGAATTTTCATAATCATATTCATAGCAAATCTAAATTATAATAATGATTGACTGCATGGAATTGTATTACTGAACTGGTGAACATCTCTTACTAAACTGGTGAACATCTCTTACTAAACTTGTGAACATGTCTTACTAAACTTGTGAACATCTCTTACTAAACTTGTGAACATCTCTTACTAAACTGATTTCTCTGAACATGTTGAACATGTCTTTCAAAATTCACTTTTGATTTCTGAACTTCTAATCATGTTTTACAGAATTCACTTTCTACTTCTGAACTTTAATCATGTCTTACAAAGTTAAATTTCTACTTCTGAACTTTAATCATGTCTTACAAAATTCACTTTTTGCTTCTGAACTTTAATCATGTCTTACAAGTTAACTTTTCATTTCTGGACTTTAATCATGTCTTACAAAGTTAACTTTTTGCTTCTGAACTTGTGATCATGTCTTACAAAATTCACTTTTTGCTTCTGAACTCGGAATCAAGTCTTACAAAAATCACTTTTTGCTCTGAACTTGGAATCATGTCTTACAAAATTCACTTTTTGCTTCTGAACTTGAAATCATGTCTTACAAAGTTCACTTTTTTCTTCTAAACTTGGAATCATGTCTTACAAAATTCACTTTTTACTTCTGAACCAGTGATCATGTAATACAAAATTCACTTTTTTCTTCTAAACTTGGAATCATGTCTTACAAAGTTAACTTTTCATTTCTGAATTTTTATCATGTTGAAAGTAATTTCAGAATTTTGTTAAGAGAAAATCAAGTTAATACTTTTCTGCTCATATTATTACACATACAATTGAAATTTAGATGCACAAAAATGTTATGATATTATTTGTGTGCAATATATTTGTCAGAATATTAGTAGGGCCTTTTTAATCTCCATTGTAAGAATTTAACCCTTCAGTACAAATCAATAATCAATAAACAATTGTTAACTTTTGAACAGTAATTGTAGTAGCAAAATCTTGGATTGATTGGTATTGATCACCTGCTAACAGGCTTGATTCCAACAACAATGGTATGGTGTGAAATAAAATAATAGAGACCTTTCTCTTGTAGACCAAGAGTGAAATATTGTTATATATAACAAGTTGACAAATCCATATCAAGTGCATGAACAGCCTTGGTACTAGCTGTAATTATTGCTGTGATGCTTGAATTAATAGTTTTTGGAGCTAATACTACTAGACTTTCACCTATCTGTCTATCTGTGTAGGGTGCATTCATATGCTGTGAGAATGAACAGTATTGTGCAGCTGTTACAGGGAGCAAATAAGATTGCAGTTCTGTCAGTAGTCCCGTACCGATTAAGCCATGAAGACTAAAAGGCATCTAGATGATAAATCCACTGACATCAGGTGCACCATAAGGTTGAGCATGGGCACTGCAATAATTGCATTACAGGTTAATTAGGAGGGTTTTTGGAGCTACTAGAATCGGAGCTTCATATAACATATATGTCTGTATATATATGTTCTTGACCAGTTTAGGATTCTAAGAAAGCACACTTAAACTATGCTGTGGAATGAGCAGTATTGTACAGCTGCTGCAATTATTAACTAATATTATTGCAGTTCTGTTCTTAACAAAAAAAAAACCCGAAGCTCTGGTAATCACTTTCACATTGTAAAGCTATGACGGACTTAATATCTTGACTGCAACGAACTCTATACCTTGACTGCAATAGTCACTCTTATTGTATCACGGAAGTTTGTAAATATGGCAAACACAGAAATCTCGACAGAAAGTCTGAAGTTTGTAAGACAAAGTTTGTAATAATTTGACATTATGAAGGTTTGAAAAAGATATATTGGGCCCTATTTGAGAGAGATTTTGAGTTGAGGTGCCATTCCACCAACTGTTCATTAGCTTATAATCCGTTGGCAATAGGATCGTTCCCAGTTCTTAAGCCTCAATTTTTAGTTGGCTTGTATTGGGCTGTCTTTTCTGATCAATATTCATTACAGATTTACTTGTTAACTTTTTTCTTCCAGAATCGTTTCTACTGATTAGCAAAATTTAAGTACGCGAACAATTAACATGTCTTAGAACATGGTAAAGCTTATAATGTTTTAATCTTAACATGTTAACTCTGTACTTAATATTAATTTGGAAGAATTCTGATTTGTTATGTTATTTGTTATATTTTTTTCTTTTTTAATCCGAACATGCACCTATGGTGTTCAGCAAAATAATCAATAAATATGACAACACTTAAAGGAAAATTAATCATGCACTTGATTGAAATTAATTAGAATTTTATATATGACAATTCTATTTTTATACCAAAATATAATCATTATTATTTTCTATTATAGATTATATATTCATTTTATATCATTAATAAAACTTCACTGATTTCTTCCTGCGCATTTTTTATTACGTTTTGTTGGATTGTTACTGAATGCGGGTCATTAGTGGTATTGTCGAAATAACTTAGTAATCGTCATATAAAAAATGATTATCAGAAGGACACTTTTTGACTCAAAGAGTATTTCACTCTTACGATAATGTTCTTATGGCATTTTAATGCTTTACAATGTGAAAAGATATTCCCTTTATATTTCCTGATGCAAGGCTATGCCTAGATACTACTATCACTCAAAAGATCATTCTTAATGCGTTTTTCTTGAAACGCAACGCATTCATTCACAATCTCCGTAGACACAATGTGGGAGTTTATTGATGGAAGACAATCTTTGAAATACAATGCTTAGAGTACCTTCACATTAAAAACAAAATGAATGGGAAAAAGGGTGGCATCAATTGATGTGATAAGTCTATAAACAAATGTAAGGTCGTGTAAATGAGGTCAGTAAATATTCAACCGATATTTCAATGAAACGTGAAGGTATTTCTTTTTGTACCAATAGCTTCCTAATATTTCTCTCTCCCTCTCACCTCATACCGCATTTACGATGAAGAGTCAGTAAGCTCCAGTCCAACATCATGCCGTGTTTGAATTGAATAGAAAGATACATGTAAAAGGTACCATAACATGGGATTAGTTGCGAACAAGAACTAAGATTAAAGATCAAAAAACTATTTTCGATATTGAATTATTTACGGTCATATGAGTAACATCCAATTACACAAAGCTTGGCTGATTTTAAACGAAGTTAAAAGAAATGGATTATAATCAACGCAATGAATCATAATCGCCCCAAAGTAGCAGAAAATATAGATGTATATGCCCTTCTGTGGGAACAAAAGAAGTTGACAATAACTATAATCTATATTCGTATTAAAAATCATTGACCATAAAATAACTCTTCTCCAGAAGGAAAGATCAATCATGGCATAGTTTAAAGGACAACAAAGATTTCAAAAAGAGATCAGAAGCTATAGTAAGTCTTGTTTGTCAAAGGGCAACTGAATACTTAAATCTTGAAAGTGTGTAAAAGTAATAATATTTTCACTTTAGTTCCAAAATGAAGAGACCATAATAATTGTCCTTTGTCGTCCATGAACATTTTTAAAACATTTTTTTCACTAGAACTATGCACTTGTTGGTTTCCCAAAACCTATGAACTTGATTGTTTAGTATTTTCGAAAATAAGCATTCATCTTATCTGCCATAACAATTTCCTATGAATAGCCTACCGATTTGATAGTCTAAAATGGTTTCTTGATACCATAGACCTGGAAATCAAAGACAGTTATTGCGTGTAAATGTCTTTGAAATATAGAAATATAGGTTTCTTATAAGAGAAGAGTAAACATCTCCTGAGATTTTATCCATCTTGAACGATAATTCGGAACCATGCTTGGGCCTGCTTTGTTAACTTATTTTTTTTATCACAGTGATTTTTCCTCATTTCCATCGATTTTGACAGCCATAAATACCGAAAATGTATATCCTACTCCTACTCCTATTTCAATTTTACTTTTAGGCCTGAGTAGGTTATAGGTTAATGACGTCAAGATGAAATACCACGAAGTTAATGGCGGTAGATGTCGATGAGTTGAGAAAGAAAAAAAGAAAGAAACAACTATATTTTACAAGGATAACAACTTAGGTCTACTATAGCTGGTCCTTTCTACAAGCTTGTCATTGATCGTTCCCGGATTATCCGTACCCGTTTACAGAGAATGATTTACGATTTGTAACATGTTTCGTTTAGCGATAAATCAGTGATTAAAAAATTAATTATCAAGTAATTGTTAAATAAAATCGTAAATAAATGTACTAAAGAAACAATGACCCATACAAGTATTGCTGTACAAGCTGCCATAATATCAGCAGATGTCACCGACAGATGTAAATGAACAAGTCCACTCTATCAGCTTTCACATCTTCATTCTTGTAAATTTTGATTCTTTTGCCACTTGTTTTTTTTTTAAAATTATTTGACCGACTTTTTTTAAAGCACGGCTTGTTTCCTTCCCCAACACCCTTGAAAAATTAAGTAGGCTATAACCAAATAATCTAACATTATTTGGAACAAAATGATATTCCTGAATGTAACTTTGAGATGAAGAACTATTTTTTTTTAAATATTTTTTTTAAATTTGAATTTGAAGTGCAAATAGACCAACGATTAACGGCATTTTCCTGTCCTGTCGATAAATGAAATTTTATTATGAAATTAAAGATTAGGTTGTTTTTCTTTTCAAAAGAAAGCCAGATAACCAACAATTTCCCTTTCCCCTCCAAAGAACTTCTCCACCATTTATCTCTAGCACTATAATACATCAAATAACTAAAAAACTAAAAACGGAAACATGCAATTAAGGTATTATTTCGAACTTAATATTTTGAGAACACAGGCCGTGGTTTTACACATAACGCGCAATGATCTTTTTCTCGGTGCTCTTGCACATTCACGAGATACGAAGTTAACAACTTTGTCCTTACACCATGGGGAAAACATCAGCTCCGAAGTCATTCTGGGGATCAGCAATTTCATTTTGAAACTGTTGCTCAAATCCCACCCCACCCTATGTACAAAATCCCCCTTTGTGTATGTATTCACCCCTAATTCCCTCTCAATCCAAATTTCAGCCCGACATTTTCGAATTCACCCTTGGGGCATCGTATCACGAATACGGGTTTTGACATTGTCGTATTAACGAAGTATGACGAATAGGGGACACGATGTCCCTTAGAGTGCATATGGACCCCGGTTGAAAAGCACTGCTATATACACCTTTCCAATTACAAATAATGATTGGGTCTTGTTAGAACATTGTTGAACCCTTTTTTATGCGATTTATAAAAACAAAACAAATAAAGATGCCCCGCATAATATACACTACATTCATAATTATGTTAACATCTTATAAATGATATATAAAAAAAAAAAATAACTTGCATTATATATACCATCACCTACTTTTGTTTCAACAGTTTATTAAACAATTTGAAACCATCATGAATTTCCGTTTGGTGTTATGTACCACTTTGTTTGTATCAGTGACAGTGATGTTATCTGCTTCAAATGCTGAACACCGCATAAGACGTAGACATTATACTAGGAACAAAGGTATTTAGACTTTTTTAAATTCAAATTGATCTCCATACTAGCGATTTATAGCTAATGGAATCAATGCTTACTTGTTTGATCAAAACCTTCAATACGGATACGTTGGAATCAGGTTTCATCACCTTGTACAATATAATGTTTTTAATAATATAAACCAGTATACTTCATCATCTGACCTCAACCTACAATCAGTAACGCGACATTTAGGCCATCTGTTCAAAAAGACAAATCATAATTGCTTTACCCTAGGATTGTCAGCATGTAGTCATATACAAAAATTATGAAACGTCTTATTCGTTTTAGCGATTCTTTAAGACTACCGAAATTCATAATTTAGGCCTATGCTTTATATCCCTTGCTTATAAGGTGCACAATAAATACTGTGGCCTGCTTATTAAGTTATTTTTATTTGGTAGTTTGTTATCCGTTCAGTTTGCCGCACAACGCGGAATGGATAAAACGAAGTTATGGTAGAAGATGCAAAGGAATCTTTGTGTGCTGTGATGGGTTTGAGATGAAAGTAAAAACAGTGTGTAAACGTGGTAGATGGAAAGTCAAGACGGTTTGTGTTGAAAAACCAACCACAACTACACTACCTCCTACAACGCCATCTACAACGCCAACAACAAAGCCAACCTCATCATCATCATCAACATCAGCAATAACAACTACAACAACACCCACTACAACACCCACCACAACACTCACCACAACACCAACAACAACACCAACACCAACAACCACGCCCACAACAACACCAACAACCACACCCACTACAACCCCCACCACAACACCAACAACAACACCCACAACAACACCAACAACAACACCCACAACAACACCAACAACAACAACACCAACAACAACACCAACAACGACACCAACAACCACACCGACAACAACACCCACTACAACACCCACTACAACACCAACAACAACACCCACAACAACACCAACAGCAACACCTACAACAACATCAACTACAACACCCACAACAACCACGCCCACAACAACACCAACAACAACACCAACAACGATACCGAC